ATCATGTCATCACGATGTTAATCGATTTTCCCGCCTCTTAGATGTTCCAAAATAAAACGGACATATTACTCTTCTTGTTATATATCAGCACTTTGATCATCGCAGAAAAAATCTCTGATCATCATCACGCGTACAATAGACACAGTGAAATTACTCACATGAATCTCGTCACATGCAATGGCACAGCAAAAGTCTGGCGTAGTATATCAAATAATTTTTCTGTCATAAGCATCTTCACGTGCCGAATTCTTGAAACTTTGCGCAGTATCGTACCGGCGATAACGCAGAAAAAATTAAGCAATCAATTCCTTCTATATGAGGCAGAACGGAATATTGTGAAAATGAATTATATTGGTAAGTGTGAATCGGAAATATGATTTTTTATCTCAGTTGCTAATCTCCCGAATTTATGCTATCCTTTTACGGAAATTAGACACGCAATATTCGGATAATTAATTAATTTTGTGGCTTGGAGCAATGAAATAAATTGACAAAGTCAAAAAAATTTTTTATTCTTTACGTCGAACTTCTATAACCTTACAGTATAATACAAATGTCAAGTAACAAAGTACACGATTATTTCAAACGAAAGTCCGAGGAATGGAGCCTTATAGGATTTTTAACCGAAAGCGAAGAAGAATCATTCCGGCTAAAAATAGACTTATACTTAAGAGGCCTTAAGAATATTATTAACCATGAGGAAGGAAATAGGAAAGAAAAAGCCCAGTTTCTCTTTAACAAGTATTATAGCAAGGAAAGTAAATATATTTTTTTGTTAGAAGTATAGTTGAGTAAGTGGCGTGGCAGGGAATCAACTAGCTTCTTTGCCATTCGAGTCAATTAGCCGAGCCACAAACCAATGTTGGGGCACAGGAAACCAATTAGCTTGCCTGATGCTTCAAGTCAATTAGCCTTTCCAGCATTGGACTCATTGGGCGCAGGAAACCAATTAGCTTGCCTGACGTTCGGATGGGATTGGAAATCGGATGTAAATTAAGACGTGTTAGTCAGGAATATTGCTAAATATTCGAATTTTCTATTTCTAGGAACCTCAATCCGATCGCGAACTTGCAAGGAATTGGGAGAATGAGCAAGTGAGGCAAGTTCATTTCCATCAGCAGACATTTCTTGGACATGGGTCTATACATGGGTCTTCTATACATGGGTCTATACATGGGACTGTAAACGGGACTATAACCGGTGGAACGTTCGTTGCCGGATCAAAAAGAGAGCAGGAAGGGGTACAGATGAGCATTTTTTTTGGCTAGAAGTGAGAATCAGCGGTGCTAACCATATTGTATTTAAATCTTTTAGGATGAGCGTAATGATAAAACTAAAAGGACGAAGATAGACGATTTTTTTTTTCCGGTGATTCATTCCTCACCTAACGTTACTTTAGAGCCACAGGGTCATAAGAATGATTGTCCCGAAGAAGATTTAGAAGAGAATCTTTTACAAGAAACCCCTGAAGCTGTTTTTGATCGTAAATTAATTATTAACAATATATGCATCCGGTCGGCAATTGAGAAATGGCGCGAATCGTCAAAATATGTCGAAGAAATACATAAGCAGGAGTATGTATAATTGTTTTTATTGTCCCGTTATATGGTTATAGCCTTAGACACTAAGTTTTCTTACTGATAAATTTATTTTATAGCTTAATGCGCTACAATATTATTGATACGACCAGCTCATCTGCGACGGAAGCACGAAAGCTCTTCAAGGAGCACTGGGACAATGTCATCAGCACTATAGAAAGATTTTTGACGTCAAGTCCTGATGCAACACAATTAGCTTCAGCTTCTGCCTCTGTTTCCGCATCATCTGATCAAGATACTGATCAAGATACGGAACAAGACACTTATCAAGATACGGAACATGATGGGAAGGCAAAAGAAGTAGAGCAGTATTTAACAAAAATTTCAAAAAATGTGGTGAGTAGCATTATCTTTAAAGGAATAGACCTGATTTTTGTCGAATCTTTAGTAGTATTGATCCAGATAGTATATTTCATTAGAATAATGCAAAGAAGTTGCGTGAAGTTGTCAAGAGAGAGCGTGCAAAGTTGCGAACAAATGATAATATTAAATGGAAGAGGCGGGCATTAGAGTTGATGAAGATCTTGTAAGTATCTGTGTCGAGTCTTTTTTTCAATCAGATTTTATGCTAACCTGCAACTTTTGCATTATTATAGTCGGGACCAGTTTCCAAACGGCAGGAATCACCTCAAAGATGATCAGACCGAATATAATTATATAGTTAAGTTTGTGTCCCGCATCTATACCATGCTATTCAAAGATAAGTCGTTTCTGGACTGTAATTGGTAAGTTGATGATTATTTTAATATCCGTTATTCATTGTTTACTTTATTGTTGGTTTATACTGTATTTTAATAGGGGTGAAAAGACTTTGCGTTGTTCCGCCATTTTGCTCAACCAGTCACTAAAAGATGATGATAGACGATGTTCTGGTAACAAAATTGATGCAATAATATCAATTTTGGAGCTGGACCTAGAGTTCTCAACCTTAGAGGTCTCAGGATCTCCCTCATGTCTTGACCATACTCATTACGTTGGGGATAGGAACAAAACCGCCAAGATGCTTAAAATTATCCTGAATTTTATCAAGACCAATTATCAAGGCGACTTCGAAAAATTTAGAAGGATAAAGGTGTTTGGCGTTCAGATGTATGGTAAGTCCAATAAGCCATATAGATAAATCCATTTATGCATATACTTATTTTTTCTTTCATTAATTCTATAGATCACAACTTTTACGTCTATAGCATGTGTATGCCCTTCTCAGGTGTTTATTATTTTAAACAGGAAAGTAAATTCTCTTATCCAACGATAACGTTTTTGGTATTCAAGGATTTACCAATATTTGCCTCGAACTTGTGGATCATGCGGGTAAGTGATTGCCATGAACTATTGACATACATATGGTGGTACTAATGTGATGTTTTTGAATATCAGAATATGATTATTTCAAGTACTGAGAATATATTGGCTTACGTTACAAGTGCTCCTACCGAATTTGGTAATGATGATACTGTAATTGATAAAGTGAAGATTTCACCCAAGAAAAAGAAGAATAAATAGGATGAGAATAAGTGGTTAAAACAGTGTACTGATTAAAAAATTATGTATATTTTATGTGCCATTAGATTTTTATGCTACATGCTTATCATTGCAAAGATTATCTTGTATTCATTAGCATTATTGTAAATAATAAAACTTGGGCTTAACATATATGCATCGGATAATTAAAATTTTTCTTGGCAAAGTTCTGAAACGGAAGTAATTTTTTTTAAAAAATTACGTCTATCCAAACCATGTTCCAGACATTTTACTGCGCCCTGGTGTCCCGCCTCAAAATAAACACTGCGCCATGAGTTATGTCAGTTATGACGTTTCTTTTTTTAGCTATACAGAATCTGACTGGCCGATCATCTCGTGATTATAGAAATTCGCCAGCGCCTGGAACTCTCCTAGAACTATCGAGGAACTGGCAGGGAACTAGGGAAGATCTCATGTGATACAATATACGTCATATCACAAACCAATTTATTAATTTTTATTAATTACATTTGCTTTCGTATTCTACTGCATCGCACTTACAGGATACAAAATTTACTAACTAATATAGCTATTTACAGATATGAAAAAATCCCGCTTTAATACAGAATAGCAAACTATAAAATCACTCTTGATCCGGCTCATTATAATTAATAAAAATATTAATCGTTTCAGCGCTTTGAGAAAATGAGGGTGTCACGGGTCTAGAACCAGAAGAAGGTGGTCTTGATACAGAGGGTGTTGTTGGACGCGATCTATTAGGAGAAGAAAATGCTCGAGGGGTTCTCGATGACTGTGATCTTCTCGGTGTATTAGGTGATGATGATAGCGTTACTGTATTGGGATGCTGTTGTGCTCCTAGAAACAATAAAACATTTTTTAGTATATCTTTCGAATAAAAATATCACAATAAAGGCACAGTGTAAATACCGGAA